ATAAATTATGCCAAATCCAGCATATTCTTTTGCAAAAATGTCCCAAGGCAGCATAGAAAATTCTTCTCACTCACTAAAGGTCAAGTCATCTATGGAAGGATCTAAGTACTTGCGCTCTCCTATACTATAGTGAATAACAAATTGCAAACTTCTCATAAAGAAGTAATTGATTGAGTCTCTTCAAAGATCAATGCGTGGAATACCAAGCTATTATCACAAGCTGGAAGAACGACTCTTATCAAATCAGTCCTACAGTCAATCCCTACCTACACCATGTCAACCACCACCCTTCCAAGAGATGTGACATCCACATCCAAACAGGATAAATCAAGTAGAACATTCTGGTGGTCCAACTCCAAAGAACCCACACACCACGCTATAGCCTGGCGAAAGCTGTGTCGCCCTAAAACTCAAAGAGGGTTGGGTTTTCGAACAAGTACCAAAATGAATAAAGCCATGTTCGACAAGCAAATTTGGAGGTTGCTCACAGAGAAGCATGGGTTATGGAGTAAACTAATAAAAAAGAAATAATTTCGTAATACTTCTCTTTTTGCGGCCAAGAAAGGACAAAGAAGCTCATGTTGGTGGAAGCACGCTCATCGGGTCTCTAATACCATGAAATCCAATCTACTACGGATTGTCAAGGATGATTCCAATATTTCCGTTGTAGCTGACCCTTCGATCCCATCCATACTTGGACACAGTCCCAATCTTGTCACATCAGCCAATACAAGTCCAAATGCAAATATCAAAGTAGCAGAATTGCTAAATCCAGATCACAGCTGGAACCGTACAAAGCTCCAAGAACTTTTTGACGAGGATGTCATTGCCCACATTCAAAACATTACACTCCAGTCCAATCAATATGAGGATCTACTTATATGGAAGAGCAACAATTTTGGAGTCTTCACAGTTAAATCTGCATACCACCTATATAACTATGTAGAAAGTTCAGCCTCAGCCACTCATTTCGATTGGAAAATCTTATGGAAACTCAAGGTTCCCTATCGCTTCCAATTATTTCTTTGGAAATTATTATGAGATGGACTACTCACGAAGGATAAATGCTCTAAGTGGCTGAGAAGCCCAGACTTGCTCTGTAGTTTCTGTAAGGAAAGAGAAGAGACAGTCTTTCATCTTTTCTTTCAATGTCACTATACTAGAGCAGTCTGGTGGAGCTCCCAGATTGGATTCGACCCCGGCTCACTTACAATCGAACTGGCTCACATCATCATATCAGATTGGTACAATGCAATGAAAAACCAGTTTGGTAAAGAACAAGCCTCATCATGTCTAAGTAAGTTTAGTTTGATCACCTACCACATTTGGAAGGCTCGCAACAAGCTACTCTACAAGAACACCACTACCAACCCACTAATGGTAGTGCAAAAGGCTCTACAACATTATTTACAAGATGAATCATTTTGCATCCGATCACAAGCTCACCTCTTCCCTCATCATGCGCCATCACTCAACTCACCCACCAACTCCATGTTTATTGATGGCTCTTTTAATCCAATTACAGGAAGTGCAGGACGAGGATTCATCATCAAAAATACCATTGAAGGATTCCAAATTGCAGAAGGAGACCCCTGGTGGGCCCATCAACAGTTATGATGCCAAAATACGAGCCCTTTTAATGGGCCTCAAAGCTGCAAGGTCGAACAACATCAAGCATCTCCTAGTCTTTCTGATAATGTAGATCTTATAGATCTTGTAAATACAAATCGACCAGCGAAGCATTGGGTGGATCAACTACATCGTTGCAATCTAAGACATGCTAGATCTCTCTTTTTGTCTATAAATTTTGTACATATTAATAGATAACACAATCAAGCTACTCATCTCTTTGCTTACATATCATGCATGGCACAACTATGTATCCAATATGACTCTAGACGATCTTCTCATGTAACTATTTCTACGATCAGTTAATGAAGATCTCTTTCTTTTGCCAAAAGAAAAGCCCAACTAGAGGCTGATAGATTAATTATATATTAGGGGACTGGGGGAGAGAGAGAGAGATCAAATTTTCAAATTTTGAATTTTACAAATCTAAACTGCAAATCGCTACCTAAGTTGAACGTTTCAGCAATTCGACCATTATAATTAATGGCTCTTTTTTGACAAATTCAACTTTTTTTCATAAAAAAATAGAATAATCAAAACCGGACTCGAAGAAGTTATGACCAATTCCCAGGTCAAATAGTCCGACTGTCCAATCCAATCTAATTTTCAAAACAATGGTTAAAACTTTGAAAGCATTATCCATTCAGCGGATGTGGAACCAATGATAACATACACCTCACACCAGCCATCAAATATACGGGGCCTATAATAGGTCGCATTGTGGTCCCTAAGAATTGTATGATTGACATGGGGTGTTATCGTTGGCTCTATAGCCAGATAAAAAGCCATCACATTCAACTAATCCAAATTAGTGGAAAAAAAAAAGGGTTTCTAGCAGAAAGGGCAACTTTTTGCCAAAGGAAGGGCAATGACACTGTTCAGCGTCTTCCTCTTCCTCTCCTTCTCTCTCTTCTCTCTCTTGCTCTTCTTAGTGAGACTGAAGCTCTGGTGTAACTGTGACGTCTGTCGTAGTTATCTCACCGCGAGCTGGTTGATTGAATTTGACTCTATCTTATAACCTCTTTTGTGAGGACGTTGATTAATCGGATAGCCTTCTTCATCTTTTTCTCCGACCCCAAATTCAACAGCCGCTTTATCTTCCAGATAAGCGGAGATAGCAACAACACTCATTGAGTTGATAATCTGGACACCATATCAAAGGCCATTGCGAACTCTGAGATGGGAAGCGATAGCTCTAGGCAACCGGGGTCTAGTCTGAACGAGAATCGACAAATGTTATCGAACGTGAATCTTCAAAACACATCTTGTAAATCTAGCACACGTCCTTCGCCGCAGCCGACGATAAGTGCGGGACAAGCCAACGCTTGATCTCAGTGGTGACTATCTCGAAGGCGAATGATCTTTGAAACTTCCATGTATCTCCGTCGACGTTGAAGATGCCACGACCCAAGAGGTCACCCAGGATCACGGAGAAAGGCTTCCCTTTTGGGTAATTTTCAAACCTCGTCTTCAACATATACTTGACGTTATCCGGATTGGCTGTAATTGTGTTTCCGAGCACATGGACATGGATGGTCTTGCTGGGAGACTTCTTGAGGAGATGGGTATCAATCAACCAGCTCGCGATGAGATAACTACAACAGACGTCACAGTTATACCAGAGCTGCAGTCTCAGTAAGAAGAGCAAGAGAGAGAAGAGAGAGAAGGAGAGCGCGAAGGAGAAGAAGAGGAAGACGATGAATAATGTCTTGCCCTTTCTTCATATTTTTCCGAAAATGTTGCCTTATTTTTGTTATTTTATAAAAATCATATATTTTATTGATATTTAGGGCAAAAAGTTGCCCTTATCTACTAGAAATCCAACCAAAGAAAAAGATGTAATGATTCCATCGAAGGAAAAGAATGATCTAATGGTTCTAGAGCACATAACCAAAAAAAGAACAAAAACTTTTAGAGGTAGGTTTATGAGTATTTAATGGTGTATAACCATTTTCTGCCGGCATGTGATGGCAATGATGCACCATAATACTGGTCAGTTCTTTGTTTCTTCAAACAGGAAGTTATACATTCATGATTCATGTTTATAGCAAAAAAAAAAAAAGTGTTATGACTGTTATTAACTCATAGCAGTCTCAACCGCACAGAAAATTGACGCTTAAACTCAAAAATCAAAATGCCTAGGTGGCCATCATGTGGTAGCGTTTCAAGGAGAAACATCGACACTCCCACGGTTGATGTTTTTAGCAACGTTTTCGAACCTTCGTTGATTCGGACGGTTGGACTATTTGGCCTGGAAATCGTTCAGACAATCGGTTCCGTTTTACTCTAAATCCGGCATTTGATAAAAAATCGTTGAAAAAGTCAACAAACTGTTAACCCGGGCAATCGAACCATTGACCCGTCGACCCATTCAATGATTTTTGACCATTTTTTTATTTTTAATTTTTTAATTTTGCTATCAGAACGGGCCATCTGTTCGAACCGAATGATTTGAACATCAACCCAAAAACCAATGGACAGAACAGTTCCATTTCCGGGTCGTATTTTAAAACTTAATTTTTAGTAAAATTGTTGTATGACTCTTTTAACTCAAAACAAATTTCAATTGAACATAGAATTGACGTTTTAACTCAAAATGCCTAGGTGGAGGTGGTGGTGATGACCCAACAGCATTTTAAGAAAAAACATTAGAATTTGAATCACCATATATCTCATATATGGTGGGTCCCACTTTTATGATGGTCCTTGTTTTAAAATAAGATGTGTGATGTCAAATGACGTTGGTATGGTGTTGGAACAGAATTGGGATCTATTCCTCATAAAGCACGCCTCACATGAATACATCAATAATAAATACAAGTGCGGAAAATATTCCTAATGTGCGATCAAAACATACTGTGAGGTTGGTGTGAGGTGCATTCTGTAAGGAGTAGATCGGGACTCATTGGAACTTGTTTTATTGGTAAGAGGTCTAACTTAGGGATGGCATCATGATAATTTTCCCCATCCCTAGCGGGGACTTGACTTCCCCGACCCCTGGGGATTGTTTTGGCGGGGTGTGGATGGAGGCGTGGATTAATAGGAATCCCCGATCGGGGTTGGGGTTGGGGATGGGGATTGAGGTCCCTGCCCCGCCCCGACCCCGATTATGTATATATATTATTTATATTATTTATTATATATATCAAAACATATTTAAAAAATATTTATAATTTAAAATTTTTATCTAGTTTAAGTAAATTTATTTTTCAAATTAATACTGCTATATACAAATATTTCAAAATTTTGGGTTCTCGTGGAGAATCCATCCTTATCCGGGATCGTGGATGAAGAACAAATTTTATCCCCGATAGGAATCAGGGACGGGACAGAGTTACTTTTATGATCGGGGGCGGGGATGGGGAATATGATCCCCGTCCCGAACCCGCCCCGTTGCCATTCCTAAATTCCAACTCGAAACAGTATCGGTACCAAACACCTCCTGACAGGAATAACGAGAGGTCAGTCCTTGCTTTGCAACCAATCACTCCGATAATACCCAACTCATTTTTCCCTCCCTCCTAGTTTTTTCTTCCCGCCAAAACGACATCCATAACCACTGGAGTTGAGAGAGAGAGAGAGAGAGAGAGAGGCGGAAGATGGAGAATGGAGGATCGGCGCCGACGGGCTGCTACAAGTGCGGCCGGCCAGGCCATTGGTCCCGAGATTGTCCATCAGCAAGTACGAACCCTAGCTCCAATTCTAATCCTAATTCCAGCTCTAATTTCTCCCGGCCATCATTCAAGAACAGTGGGATTCCAAAACCAACTGATAAGGCTCTCGAGAAGCCCAAAAAGGTTCCAAGAACGAGGCCGAAACTCACTCCGGGGCTTCTCCTCTCCAACGATGGCCTTGGTTACGTTCTTCGCCACTTCCCTCGCTCTTTCAAATTTCGAGGCCGTGGGCACGAAGTACGCCTGCTATCTCCGATATAACTAGGTTTTGATGTATAGTTTGCATTTTTCTGTTTTCTGAAGGATTAACTTGCAACTGGGTCTTTTGTAGGTTAGCGATCTTAGGAACCTAATTGGATTATATGCTGAATGGCACTCGCATTTGCTTCCTTACTACTCGTTCGATCAGTTTGTGCACAAGGTGGAAAAAGTTGGTGCTACGAATCGTGTCAGGGTAGGCCATTAATTTTGCAATTATAATAATGCTGTTAATTTATTTTACGTGAAGTATATCGGCGTTACGGAACTTAGTATATGAACATAGATAATAGAGCTTTGGAGTTAAAATTGTCAAAAAGGAGAAGTCTTGGGATGTGTTCGGATCAAGAGTGTTAAAATAGAATTAACTTCTTGTTCTGCCTCAGTTGTGCCCAATTTTAAAGACCAACCCAGTGGGGAGATAAGGTTCAGGAAAAAATGTGGAATTGGTGGACTGAAATCTGCTAGTTTCTGAGTTATGTTTCACTAATTGGGCCCAAACCAGAATCATGAAACCTGCAGAGTTGGTATTTCTATTCTGGGCTCATCCAGACACAACATCAGTAATTGTTACAAAATCTGTACTTATTGATGGCTTTTGAAACTTTTTTTTTATCCTTGTAATCCTGACTAATAAATAATCAGATGCTAAATATGCCATTCATCATCATAACAGTTTCTTTAAATTATTTTATTTTCCGGAACTATTACATTCTTAACAATTTGTAAATGACACATAGAGGGCTGTCTAGCAAACTGGACAATGTTCTTTTGATTGATACACAAGAGTTCAAGTTCACCGGTGGCCAGTGGAAAACATCGTCTTAACCCATGTTATGATTCCATGGTGTGAAGGTCTTTTTTTTTTTCTTTTATGTTTTTATTTTTCTTGCTACACAGCACCCTAAATATTGTTCTTTTGATATCCATTATTATTCTTGGTTACCTTAACATCCAAATCTATCTGGTTCTGAAATTGTTTCTTCTGACATGTTTACCATTCCAAAGGTTTAAGATACTTTTGTAATCCAGAAATAAATAATATTGCTAAAACATTATTCTAGGAATTCCTTACTTTCAAAGTTACAGGTAATTTTAGGACATAGGAGTTAATGCATTCTAAAATCTTTTAGATTGACCTAGACCGATTCTAGAATAGAAGATGAGGAATGTGTTCTAGATTAAGCATTAAGTGAGTCTTGAGTTGATGCATGTATGGATGTAAGATGATCATTAGAGGTCCATTCTTTAATAGCAAAGAAATGAATGTAAGGTTGAGTGCTTGGCAATTAAAGGTGGCCTATAAATATGCGATGATGTACAGATTCACTTCAAGAATTCATGTATTCAAGGAATCAAGATTTGAGTTGATTTTCTTTTCTTTTCCACATATGTTCTTTGCCCCAGTCTTGTAGCAAGTGTGGTTTTGCTCTCCAGAAATTGGTATCGAAGGAAGATGCTGATGAATGGGGTAGTCTAAGTATTTCTCAACCTGTTATACTGATCTTTGGAGGAAAAACTTATGACTATTGTATTGATAAAAAATTATGACTATTGGAGTGTCAAGATAAAACACTCTTTATGTCTCAAGAACTTGGACTTAGTTGAAAATGACTATAATGATTTGCCAAAGGGGGCAAATTTGAGCACTTCTCAAAAGGAGTAGCTAAAGGGGAATTGGAAGAAGGATACAAAGGCATTGTTCTTCATTCGACAAGGAGTAACAGAGACTGTCTTTCTGAGAACTATTGGAGTCAAAAGAGAAAAAGAAACACATGCCATTCTTAAAAATGAGTTTCAAGGTAATAAGAAGGTAAGGGCCATTAAACTTTAATCTCTTCGAAGACAACTTGAATATTTACGTATGAAAGAATTTGAAAGCATGAAAGTTGTGGATACAATTAATCAAATGAAATCACTTGGTTTTGATATCTTAGAACAAAGTAGTAGAAATTTTGATTAGTCTTCTAGCAAATCTGACCCAATTGTAGTAGAATTGAAGATTCAAAAGATATTTCTACTTTGACTATTACTGAATTTATGGCCTCTTTGGAAGCCCATGAACAAAAGGGTTAATTGGCATGCTGGAAAATCTGTTAAATAAATTCTTCACTCAAAGCTGACTCTTGGTTCTCAAGATTCTACTGAGAAAATGTCTGTAAATGAAAGGAGAAGAGATTCAGGCATAGAAGAAAAATCTGAAAGGAGCAAAGCCTAAAAAGGATATCATGACTAGACCTGTTCACAGGCCAGGTTTCAGGCCCGGCTTTACATTGTTTCAGGCTGGGCTTATTCAAATTTTGATAAAAGCTAAGCTCAAGTCTGGCCATGAACAAGTCTAATTGTGATAAAGGAAAAAGTCAATATTTCAAAGGAAGATATTACAAGGGAAAGGGAAAAGGTAATTATGAAAAAGTTAATGATCGTTCTCAAAAATTGTGATCATTACAGAACTTCTGGCCATATTGAAAATGATTATTGGTATCATGGAAATCCCTAGTGTTAAAATTGCAAAATGCTTTGGCATATTAAAAAGTTTTTTCTAGAAGGGAAAAACCAAGCCAATTACTGTGAGGAGAAGAAACCATGTTCTTTGCATGACAAGTTGCTTCTAAGAAAAATAATGAAATTGGTATCTGGATGGTGTTTGTAGTAATCACATGACTTGATGGGAAAATTTTCTTGACCTTGATAGCAGTGTAAAGTCTAAAATTTGCATGGGAAATGGAGTTGTGGTGCAAGTGAAAAGAAAAGGTACTATTGCAATTCATACTAAGCAAGGAACTATGGTTGCTCAGTTGGTAGGATCTCTGACTCATTCTATCAGAGACCTGGGGTCTGCTGCCACTAGGGTTGGGGGATTAAGAGATGGGGGATGGCACACACTTATTTTCCTGGATGCTTCAATAGTTCAAGTGCTGGAATTGAGGGAAATTTTGAAATGTTTTGAGGTGTTGGCAGGGCAAAAAATTAACTTAAACAAGAGTGTGATGATTGGAGTGCGTAACATATCTTGTGTTTGGAGGAGAGTGTTGCGACATTGGGGTGTATGATAGGGGATTTCCATTCACCTATTTGGGTTTTCTGATAGGTGCAAGGGCTTTGGTTCGTCTTACTTGGCAGTTGGTATTGGATAGAATACACCAAAGATTGGCAGGATGGAAAGGAAAGTATTTATCTTTAGGGTGGGAATAAATTTGTTTAAGAACATACTATCTAATTTACTACTTTACTACTTGTCTCTTCTTAAAATTCCTTTATCTGTGGCAAAGTCAATTAAAAGGATGCAAAGTGAGTTTTTATGGGGAATAAAAGGTCTTGAAAGGAAGTACAATTTAGAGAACTGGGATTGGGTGTGCAGGGAGATAAAAGAATGGGGTTTGGGGGTTAGGAGAGTGAAAATTTCAACATGGCACTTTTGGGGTAATGGTTGTGGGGATTAGGTTTGGAAAGGGAAGCTCTATTGAGAAGGGTTGTGGCCTGTAAGTATGGTTTGGTTAGGTTGGCACTCAAAGGAAGTGAAATCATCTTATGGGGTGTGCATGTGGAAAGGAACTATGAGTTTTCAATCATCTTTCTTAAATCTTGTATATATCAAGGTTGGGGATGGTTTGACTATAAAGTTCTGTGAAGATGATTGGGTGGTGGGTTTGGCAAATTTTGTAATCTTTGCCCTTGATTGTACAACTTAAGCAGGAAGAACATCTCAATTGCAGAAAACATTGAGATAATTCAAGGGAGAGTAGTTTGGTGCCTAAAGTTCAGAAGGCATCTCTTTGACTAGGAGATAGGGGAATGTGTGGAGTTGTCATCAAAATTGTAATTTGTTGAGGTGCAAATGGAGAGAATAGATGCAAGATGGTGGAAGGATTCTAAAAATGGTAATTTCTCTATTAAGTCATTTTACAACGCTCTCGTAAGGAATCAAGTGACCGGAGGTAAAAGGAATATGGGGAATTCTTGTTCCACCTAGGGTTTGAGCATTTACTTGTCTGGTGGCTTTGGATAGTATCCTTACATTGGATCATATTCAGCATAGAGGCCTCCGGCTGGACAGTTGATGCTATTTATGCAAAGCTGCTGAGGAGAATGTATTTCTTCTTTACATTGGTGGTTGTTATTTGGAATTCATTTGGGAATTCTTCTTTGGTTTATTCAAATTGGAACTATTTGAATCTAGAACCCTGAGAGAGATTTTTGCTTGTTGGCCTACACTACATGGAAATTCAAAAGCAAAGATTGCATGGAGCTGTCATTCTTTTGCTATCTGTTGGGAAATTTGGAAGGAGAGGAATAGAAGGATATTTAAAGACAAAGCCTGAGGAAGATATCGGGTTGCAATGCTTTGTGGAAGAAGCATTATGGACTGGATTCTTATTTTGCCAGAGTTTGAAGGAGTGTCAAAAGATCTTGGGGATGAATTCTGGTATCTTCTTGATTTAATCCAAAGAATTGTTTTTTTGGTTTTGGTTTTGGTTTTGTTTTTGTTTTTGTTTGGATGTTTTTGCCCATCTTGTTTGTGCTTGAAAAGGTATGGTGATAGCTCATCAACTATTTATTATGCTTCCCTTTTTCCTATTATTAATAAAATTTTCTTTTCTATTTATTGTAGAGGTTCAATTCAAGAAATCGATAAATCAAGAATTGGGTTGATTTCTTCTCTTCTCCAAGTGTGTTGTTTGCCCAAGTCTTTTAGCAAGTGTGGTTTTCTCTTGACATGTAATTCTTTTGTATCAGAAATTTCCTCAACATTTGAATTTTATATTACTTCATAAGTTTGAATAGTTCAAGTAACATTTGACTTGCAGATAAGAAGGTAGATCACATTATGTAGCATTAGGAAAATAGCTTGTTTTATGAACTACAACAGTTTTTTCATCTAAGATAGTATATAGAATTGTTTTTTATGGGTAATCAAATAATTTGATTTACCAAAAATGATTACAATCTGTTATTTACAGTTATAACAATTTGGTTATTTTCTCTGTATAATCTTATCTAGATCAGGGGAGATGGCAAGGATGAAGCGGCACTTTTTCATTTTCCTCACTATTGGAAGCTGAAACATCCAGAATTCAGTGCTTTGCTACTGAAAATTACAAATAAATTTGCATACCCATTGAAAAAGTTTGTCTCCTTTAGATGTTGAGAAAATCAATTAGCATTTATTTGATGATTTGGTCAGTAAGAAGGTTGTAGCAACCTACATTCCTAATATAAGAGAGTAAGAAGGTTGTAACAACTACATTCCTAATATAAGAGAGTAGGTTTCAAGTATTTTTTACCAAAAAATACCTTATAATCTCCCATATTGTCCAATACGAACTTTTTTTTTCAAAAGTAGTACAGAACTAGTTGACTGATTAAACTGGCTAATTTGTGGTTTCTGTCTGCAGTAGTAAAGGAATCTTGGTAAATGTTCCTTGGGCTCAGTTTGGGAAAGTGCAAATACAAATGTGTTCAGTACAAAACCTTGTATATGGTATTTATAAACCCTGTATTTGTACTGTACACATTTGTAATTTGTACTCTTCCCAAACTGCACCTTGATCACATAATTTCTAGGACATATCTCTCTAGGGTACATTCAAATTGTTATAATTTTCTCATTTGCTTTTCTATTGGATGGTAATTTTGAACAGACATGTATTAAAGAATTAAGAGAGAGAGTTGCCAATGGAGGGGACCCTTCAAAATTGCATGAACCACCAGTTGAACAAGATGGCAGAGATTGTGAACCAGGTATCCCTTCTTCTAGCTTTCCCTAAACTTTTGGTCATTTTGCTAGTGGGAAGAACTGATTGTATATGTGTCAACATCCTATGATGCAAGCATGGAAGCAGGAAAAGAATCAATGGAGAAAGAAGAAATCAATTTTCTCACGATTTCTTAGAGTGTCAATTCTATGTTTTTTTTTTTTTATTTGAATTTGGTTACTTTTAAGGGTCTATTGCTTGGAACAATGGTAGAGTCTTAGGCTAACAAGTGTGAGAACGTAAGTCCTATACTTAGAATGGCTATTTTGAGCAAAGGTGCTTACAGTTAGGTTCATATCCAGTCCACTTCTCCTAACACCCTTGATGGTGAGGACCAACATTGGGTAATGTCCCTTATTTGAATTTTATCAGTTGAGTGTTGGCATTTCTCCCAACACACAAAACTTCTGATCTTTTGCTCGATTGGAGCCTTGGAAATTGTTTTCAAAGATGATGAATTAACAAAATGGATATCTTGTCTTAGCTTGTGACCTTGAAGGCTTTTTTTTCCAAAGTTTATGCGAAAATTCTAACTGGCTACTTTATAGATCATGACGGGTGCTTCTTTTTTTTAAGTGCCATAGGATTCTAATCTAGTTCTTTCAGGTGCAGAAGGAGCTATGACATTGGAAAAGCCAGATCTTGAAATGGGAGAGCAGTCAACTAGGAACAATGATGCTGATGATGTACAGGGACACATGTTTGATGAGATTTATCAGAAGATTACTGAAGTAAGTTGTGGTCAATTTTTGTTTTCTAATTTTTAATGATATTGTAGTTCACTACCAATAGAAGGCTACTGAAGCAAGTATTTTTTCGTATGCTTCATCAAACTATATGCTTATATTGTGCAGTTATAGTTCTTGTTTTCAAAATTCTAAAATTTTGAGATGGTGCACCTTTTTCGTTTTTAAAATAAACAGTCAAACACCTTTAGCAAGTATCGGTAACAGATTTCCTTGTGAAAAAAAATGATTTCTTTTCTTTTCCATGGGAAAACACAATTCTTCACCATGTGGTACTTGGAAGTGAATGGATTTGTTGATGTCAACTCCTAAATGTATGTCTCCTACAGTTCCTAATGTTCAAATTATTTTATATTTCGTGAACATCTGTCTTTGCTGTTTGAGAAAGACTTAGTGACTAGTTGCTTAGATTTTTTGTGGGGGATGAATGGACTGAAGAATGGAAGTGTAGCATAGAATTTTACTTCTGCATTTTCTGGATAGATTATCAACTATGGATGGATAATGATGTGCATTTTCTTATGATGATTTGGATTGTACTTGAAAGATCTTTTGCCCAAGGTAGGAGAGGACAGGGGTTCAAACTTCAAAGATAGGAATAGTATTGGGAAAAACCTAGTCCTGGTCATACCTGAATGTGTCTGAATGACCAGCCATTAGAATCATAGTTCCAGGTTCTGCAATAAGTTTGGTAAAGACTTGCTTTCAGAGGATTGGGATAGCTCAGTGGAATTCAACTTGATCTTTCTTCTTCTTTCCCTCTTTCTTACCTTGGTGAAAATCAGCCCAAAGATTTGGGGTACTATGGTCAGGAACTTATTATTATTATTATTATTATTTTTTTTTTTAACTTGGATCTTTCTTTTTTCTTTGTTTCTTTTCTTTCAGTTTGTGCACAAATCACCTTGATGGTTCTCAAATCTAAACATCATTGAAGTGCAGTCCTTTCATTTTCTTTTGAGCCTCAAGTTGGGGCCTAGGCTTTTACAAGTCTTTGAAAGATGCCATAAGTTGTACTTGAACTTGGTTCTGCACATGGGCTTCTTTAGGCCCACTAATTTAGTAACCGGCTCCACACCTTTCAATGTATCAAATTTCGTAAATAAGATTTGAATCAAGCAGCATTACATTATTATTTTTGCTAAGAATTACCAGTTGTTATTTTTATTTGATTAGTTGTTTAAAGGTGCATATGCAATGTGAAACACGTAGAGCTTTTCTTTGTTTTTTCCTTTTTTTGATTTTCTTCCTGAAATTATGTGGTCGTATATGCATGAAGTATGAATTTGCCCAACTAGAAATTCTTGACTTGCATTTTAGGCCCCATTCGCTTTTCATGAAGTTACTTACCTGGGCAAGTATTTCTTGGAAAATACTTACCCGGGTAAGTGCATTTACCCATGTTCTTTTATTTCTCAGGTAAATAATACGACTGTTTTAGCCATAAAAAGCTATTATTAAAACGGGAAATTTTGTCCCATCCAAGTGTTGGCAACTCCCCCCCTCCCCCAAGGTGAGAAAGTTACTTGCCCACCTAGGAGATGGGTATCACTTACCCATATAGGGAAAATAATTTTGTGGACCCCACATAAATCTGAAAAAGAACTAGGGTTGTAAACACATATGAGCATCTATATTTAAATCGAATCTGATTATATCAGATATAGGGGTAGATCCATTATCCATATTTTATCCAATTATAAACGGATCAAATTTGGATCACCCTTAATGGGGTCGAATTCGAATTTGAATTCGGATAATTCAATACCGTTTGCAGGTATCTTGGTCAATGGGAACAAAAATTGCATTGACCAACTTTCCCCCCTCTCAAAATCCAAAAATCAAATATGTGATCTATTGAAATAGCCAACCTCATATAACAAAGCTTAGATGATGATGATGTGATCTATTGAAAAGATAAACCTCTGGGTCATCGAATTATGGTTATTTACTTATTATTACCAAAAAAGGATTATGCATATTATATATACTCCAATGATTGCATGCTGGCTTAACTGAAGAATAGATCAGTAAGAATGTAAAGGAAAGAGATATAGTGCTTACCCTACATTGCATAATTTTCCCCATCATTTCTCCCTACTTTTTCAGAAATGTAGATACAGTTAGTTCCTGGCATCAACTGAAAAGAATTTGTGTGATCTTTAACTGCAGGAATCTCCACAATCTTTGCCAAGCCAAATGGTTAGCTCTGGAGTAACTTCAGTTCATAATTTGATTAAAGAATCATTAAATCAAGTGCTAGACACTGGAGGAAATGGTTCTAGTGAAATCCGTATCACAGAGGAGCAGAGAACTCGTATGGAAGCTAACCGGCTAAAGGCATTAGAGAGAGCTGCTGCTCGCGCCAAATCTGTGCAAGCAGCTTGATCTTATTCTCCTTGTCATTCATTGCCATTTTCAGTACTTGTGTATGCTTTTTTCTTCACCAGTCCTAACCAAAACTTGCTTACTGCAAAACAGTGGAACACTTTATTTATGTTTCATCTTTTGTGATTAAAATGTTAGATCTTGTTGGATTAATGTATTTCAACAGATCATGGTCATGGGAGTATAAAAAATTTGGATTGCGTTTACCCAAGGATCAAAGTATCAGAAAAACAGAAGGCAATTTTAAGAGATGAATGGAAATGCTTTGGGTATGCATTGGATATGGCCAAAAAATTGAAATGAGAATGGGCATGCTAGGAAAACTCAAATGAATGCTCAAACATACATGGATAACACTAAATTTAAGTATCAAATGGGTAAATGACTATACATACATAAGGTATATAGATGTAAAAAACACATAATAATATATGCAATTATGTGTAGTGTGAATTATTGTTATTCTTATGAATTATGATATCAATATAATTACTGTTAATATTCATAAGTACAAAAATTATAATAATTTTCTTTTAATATTTTGATTGTCATGCACTAAGAGAAAATGTTTAGAAGTCAAAAGTGTAAACCAAATAATTATGACCAGTAATTGAAGTGTGGTGTTGGTGGATTTGTTCTCTTTCAACCAAACTACTCAAGTTTGATTTTTTTTTTCTATACAGTTGCAGTTTTAGATAAAAAAACCGATGAGAATGAGAAGAAAGAAGAGGAAAAAAAAACGGTTAGAAGAGGGTATGTTTCTTAATCGATCTCACGTGGTCGTTACCCAATGTTGGTTCCAACTATATGGGTTTCAGGAAAAGATTTCCCTATTCATATGATAATTACAAATATGCCTCATTGTTTTTAACAATGTTTTCAAAAATTGGACTAAACTGGACCGGAAAAAACTGGTAATCAGTCACCTAACCGGTTCTGTTTCACCTCAGAATCGTCTTTTTGGCTAAAAATTGTTGATTTGGTCAGTGAACCATTGACCCAAGTAGTTGAACCATTTGAACCATTGACCCGGACGACGGCTTTAGCCTTTTTTTTATTATTATTTTGTCAGAAAGGGCTATCCATTCGGTTCGAACGGTCAGACCATTTGACCCAAGAATCAGACTCTTGAATGGTTCGTTGTCTAGTTCGATTACAAAAACATTGATTTTTAACCTATCATTGACTCAACGGGTTGGATTGTTTGACCCATAACTCAGTCAAGATACTAGATTGAGTTAGCCCTAACCCTGCCTCTAGTTAAAAACTTGTTAACTTGGTCAAAGGCTAGTGACTTGGGATGTTGAATCGTCAACTTGTATAGCAGGTGGGGCATCCATCTATCTATCTATCTACCTATGTATGTATGTATGTATGTATATATGTATCTATCTATCCATCTATGTATGCATGCATGTATATATATATATATATATATATTACTGTTTTTTTAATTTAATTATATGATGACATAGGTTGATTCATTGACTTTGATAGATGAATCGGTGATGTGCCACTTGGAGGAAAAAGCGGGTTAGCCTTTAGGTCGGTTCTTAAAATTAGGGGTGCTCACAGTTCGGTTGTCGAATCGGTATTACCGGTTTTTCAACCAAAACCGAATTGAAGCCTACCAGTTAACCGATTGACCGGTTCAATTAATTGTCGGTTCAGTTCGCCGTTTTTTCGTTTTTTTAACTTTTACAATATATATTATATATAAATAAAAAATTATAAATATATAAAAAATATTATATTTTAAATAATAAATAATATATCATATATTATAAATATATTTTATATATAATGCATATTTATTAAATTATAATATATAAAAGATATATAATATACATAAATATATAATATATAAAAATATATGTATATCGGTCGGTTCGGTTAACTGCTGGTTTTCTATATTGATTAACTGAAACCAAACCGGTACCTTCGATTTTTTAAAATATTGAACCGACCGATTCAATTAACCAATTTTTCGGTTCGGTTTCGATTGATTCAGTTTTTCGGTTTTTTTGCTCACCCCTTCTTAAAATGCTGATATGCTCTTAATTAGATACCCCTTATTAGTATTAGCCAAAATGGTATAGTTACCCTTAATTACAATAAAACATTTTTTATACTCCAAAATTTATTCAAGGTGGAGGGGCGACCTTTTGAAATTTTATTAAATCACCAAAATGGTATGTAACCTGCCTTGCCCTATATACATTACTATGAGAACTCACAAACACTCTCATCTCCACCATAAAAAAGATGAATAAAATAAATAATACATTCAATCCAACCAAAGGCTAGGAATCTAGTATAAATCCTTCGATAACAGATTTGTAATCGTCAAAAGAAGATCCCTTCGATTATCAAATAGAGAGCTACACTGCAATTCACAAGTTAAAGGGGGAGTTCTTCAAATGAATGTTTTTGTTTTCATTTGATTTTAAATTGTCACATCAACAAAAAAAATAAAAATATGTTCTTGAACTCTGTTTTTGTTTTCAAAGGTAAGTTTGTTTTGTTTCAAAAAATAATACATGCTTTTAGAACCAATAAAGTATTATATTTTAAAACAACAAACAAACTTTCTAGTATAAAAATTATATGATTTATGGAACATGATATTGAATAATCAGATGAAAACATGTTTTTGAAACCAGATTCAAGAAGATGTTTTTTTGTTTCAGTTTTGAAAACCAAAAACGCACACAATTATGAACATGTTTCTTGCATTTTATTTTAATATACAATTTGTTTTCAAATCAAATGGTTTTGATTTGTTTTTGGAACCAACAAAAAAAAAAAAAAACAATTTACACTGTACAACCTCCCCTAAATTTGCCAATGAATCAACTGTCATTTTATGTAAAAAAACAAATAAACTCAATTATGTTGTTCTTGGGCTTTGAGGCTATTATTCAGAACATTCACCACTTAGTAGTCATTTTCAATTATGAGCTTAGAGAGACCAAAATGGGCCTTGATGCAATAGTTGGATTGCTCCATTTTAACCTGGGTGACCAGGATTCAAGTCTTGAAAACCTGTACGTACAGGGTAAGGCTGTGTACATCTGTCCCTCTCCAAACCCCGAATTGGTTTTACCCAAAACATTTCAAATAAAGCAGTGCCGAGCACAACTATCAACCTAATGTTCTTCAGTAGAGGAGGAACAATACCCAAATTGATCGATCTGATAGAGAGTTCTTAAAGAAGGTTGACTGGACAAGATGGAGACTTCCATCTTAATTCATGTGTCCATTCTTCTCCTGCATTTTTTCTTCCAAAGTTTTCATGTGTCCTTTTTTTGTTTTTTCTAATATTTTCGGTTTAATAAACCAGTTATAATCTAATGTTACTGGCTGACTCTCTAGCAAAGTTGGGTTGCAGCACTCTCTAGGACCAATCTATTCAGCAAGGTTCTAAATATCGATATATCTGATACGCCGGTAGGGGTGTATTGGGTGGTATCGGTACTTTTTTTTTTTACTTTTTTTTTTCAAAATCGGTTCAGGGGGGCTGGTTTAAGGCTCCTCCACCCCCTGAACAGGTCAGAACCCCGACACACCCTCTGTAGGGACATATCGGGGTGCTCCCGATATGATACGTATAGGCCAATATGGGCTGATATGTATCGATACTTTCAACCTTGCTATTGAGGCCTCACACAAGTCTATATATTTCTTCGTGAGTTTTTTTTTTTTTTTTTTTTTTTTATTAATGGCATTTAGACTTTTTTTGGATATTTTTTCAAGTTTCATAGTGGCTGCCCCTCCTAGGAGAGAATGTTTGGGGTTAAAAGAATAATATTAGATTTAATAATCACCGAAAATACAACATATCTCCATTTTTAACCATTAAAAAGAGAGAGGAGAAAAGTCCTTATATCAGACTAACAAATCCACCCTTAGTCTACATCTTTCATATCTCTTCACAGTTCTATTGAAATATCAATGGGCCCTAATATGTTTGGCTTCATCTTACTTCAGTAGTTTTAAATTTATGAAGGTATATTTTATTTTTAACACTATTAGTATTATTAATCTCTCATCCATTAGCACCTTTATATGTTATTTATTTAATGATGTTTTAAAATAGTTTTTCTTTCTTTTTTGTCAAGATTCTTTCACCTACATCTTTAATGCACTTAACATGGTTTAAATCTTTACTGGTTTCCATTTTACAAAACAAAAACAGGGTTTAAATCTATATATTTCCTTTTTTTTTCTCATTTTTATTAGTTTGTAAATTTTATTTTCTCCATCTTTGGTGCCTAATCTATAATAGAACTCATCATATGCCTTAAATTTAACTTTGTCTACTTTCATTTAACTGTATTTCTTTAGTTTTATATTTCTCAAATTTTCCCATTTTTAGTCTTTTGCCAGTTTATATTCCATGCTTATTTTAATCTATCTATATTTCGGACCTCTTCATTCCACCACCAAGTTTACTTAGCTTTTCCCCATTTCCTATTGTAATATTCTAAGACATCATTTGCTACTTTCATTATATAGTTTCCATTTAAAACCACGTCATTGGCCATTTCATTTAAATATTATTTTCCTTTCATTATTAACCTATCTTTAAATTATGATAGCTTTTCTCTTCTTATTTATTTCACCTAATTTTTAGACATTTATTTTCTTCCCTATATCTTTTCCATTTCCTAATATACATATCTTCCGTCACTAATTATATTGTGTGGTTAAACTTTTCTTTATGTAATAACTTTGCAATCTTTATATATTATTCATTCTATTTTTAGTAATAAAGAAATAAATATATTTGACTTATTTTTAGGGCTGTCAATGGGTCGGGTTAGGGCTGGGAGCAGCTAGAACCAGAACCGATCCAATAGGAAATATTGAGGACCTAGAACCGAACCAGACCCGATAGGGTCTGTAATTTTTAGACCCTGAACTGACCAATCGGTTCTGACCTGAGGGACCTAATTATAATAAATAAATTAATATGTTTAATATATATTAAATATTATATATATTATATGTATATTATGTATGTTATATATAATATGTATTATATGAATATAGCTTAGGTTGGGTCTGAATCGGTTTGGGACTCGATAGAACCAATTTTGGACCGATAATAATCGAGACATTATATCAAGACCCGAAACGACCTATCGATTCTAGTTCCTAGAATGAGAACTGACCCAATCGGTTCAGGTCCAACCCATTTACAACCCTACTTATATTTGATCCACTTTTAAATGCTAATAAGTATTCATCATTCTTTTTGAAAAATGTATTTAATCACAATCATCTAGAATGAAGGCCAAACTTTAAAAAGTAGGGAAATTTTCTAAAACTCACCATGAGTTTTCAGCATTTCTCTTAAACTCACCAAAACTTTTCAAAATGTCTAAAACTCACCATGTCACTAACTTGACGTTAAACAGACTAACGGGTGTTAATATATTACCATTTTAACCTTCATAGAAAGATATAAAATATATACAAAATAAATTAACATGTGTTAATATATTACCATTTTAATATTTAGACATGAAAAAAGGAAAAAGTTCAAAAAATATTTTCAAATATAAAATACATAAAAACATAGAAATTACAAAAAATATAAAAAAATTATAGAAATTGCAAACAAAATAAAAAATTATTTTAAAATTATAGAAACTATAGAAATTGAAAAACAAAATCAGAAAATAAAAATTGTAGAAAAACACCAAAAATTATAGAAAAAGACAAAAATTATAAATAAATAACAAAAATACAGGAAATTTTATAAATTGTAGAAAATAGAAAAATATAAAAAACAGAAATTATAAAAAACATTAAAATGCAAAAAAACAAGAAAATTCAAAACTAAAAAAAACCATTTTTCCTCTAACTCACCATTCAAGGGTAATTTGGTCATAAGAATTGTTATTTATGCTGACATGGACACCTCTATTAAGAAGCATTAACGATGCACTAAGGGAAGGTGAGTTTTGGAAAACAAAAACTTACTGACATGGTGAGTTTTAGACATTTTAAAAAGTTGTGGTGATTTTAAGAGAATGTTGAAAAGTCATGATGAACTTTAGACAATTTCCTTTAAAAGTAAGGAAAAAAACCAATTAAAATAAATCCTTCTACCAACACATGGTCCACACTGGTTTTTATTGATACACTTTGGATTAAAGATGATAGGAACAATACCGATCACCATGCGTGGAATGAATGGCATCAACACCATGCCAATCTCTATGGAAATGGATATGATATGCCCATATTAAGTGCACATATGTATATTTTAAACCTTATTATATGCCTAATTAATAAAAATATATTTTTATAAATAAAGAAGTATGTGTGTTTGTATGTATTTGTTTGGCGAGCTTAGGTTGTGTTGGGTTGGGCCTAGGTTGGACCAGGTCAGACTTAAGGCAACCCAAGGCTGTAACCAAAGCTTAGCCCAAGTTTAGGTCAAGCTCCAATTTTCTGGTTCAGGTCCAGCCCTATCTATTAAGGGCCCGTTTGGTGTATTTTTTTGGGAAGATCTTCTGGTAGCTCTGTCAGTCAAAAGACATATTGGGCTTTTGCATGAAGATCTGAATAGCCTGAAGCACGTTTGACAGATGCACGTCTTCCTGTGCATCTTTCCACATCTTTCCGCATGAGAATAAAACGGGAAAGACGCGAGAAGCTTCATTTGGAGCTTCCCAAAATTAGCCCAAACTGGGCTTTTTGCGTTCCATCTTTTGGCGGCTAGATCTTCCACGCACCAAACAGAAATAGACCGAAAATCAGCCTTCCTGACTTATAAACAACCGAAAGACCGCATCAAACACAACCTAAGTTACTAGGGAGTAGGGAGTAGACTGTTAATGGACCGGGTAGCCCGATGGACTGGCTCGACTAACTCATTTTATATTGGGCTTAGACAAATTTTTAAGCTTATAGGCTTTGGCTTTTCTAAAAAAAGCTCAGCCCGATAAAATTATATATAAATAAAAATATAATATATATTATATTATTGGAAAAGTACAGACATGCCCAATGTAGATTTCTGATTTCCACTGCAGAGCTATAAATGTTCAAAATCTCAAAAACCCCCACTCCACACACCAATGCCCGCCCATGAATTGGCATCAATAGGGGTGCAAGTCGGGCAGGTTGGGCCAAATTTATGGTTAACCTAGGTCCGACCCTAAAATTTGGGCTTAAGGCCCGAGCCCGGTCAATCCCGATTTTCCCAACCCGAGCCCAACCCTCCCTGTAATTTGATGCACTTGAGTTGGGCTCGGGTTGGTCAATAAACCCACTCTAAAATTATACATATATAAATGCATTTATGCAAATATATATGCATATGTATGCAACATTTACATATATACACATATATATGTATGTATGTAAATATGTATGCAACATTTACATATATACACATATATATGTATAAATGTATATAATTGGGCCAGACTCGGGCCGGGTTTGGGTTACCTAAGGGTTAGGCTTGAACCCGACCAAAAAAATATAAAAACCCGACTTCTTGGGCCTGAGCCCAGCCCGAGGACTGAAAATCCAAACCCAACCCATATAAAATTTTGGGTTGGGCCAGTTCAGGCTTGGGTTGGGCCCACACAAATTGCACCCCTGGCACCCACCCCAACTATACTTTGGGCCTATAAATTCTGACCCTGGGCTGAACCGTAGAATTAAGATTATATATAATTTATAAAATTTCTGTTTAGATCTGGGTTTATATAGGGCCGGGCTTGGGCCTGGTGTTTTCTTTTTTGTTTTAAAGAGGCAAAGCCCGACCCGGCCCGTGAACAGGTGTAGTAGGGACTAGGGAGGAGTTTTTCTGAGAATATGATAATTGGATAAGGCCATTAGCGTAAGAAGAGAAAATGTCGGAAGTAACGAGAGTCGACAGATGATGACGGTCTCTCTCGGTCTCTCCTAGTCCTATATAGTATTACTGGGAGTGACTACAGCGAAACCAATTTGTTCAGTCCTTCTGGTTTTCTCTCTCCTCTTGTTCTTCCGCCGGTTTGGTTAAATCTTGGGTTCGTTTTCGGATTTTCCTCTTAATTTTCGTCGGTTGGTCGAAGCGACTCCATTGATTGAGCTCGTTGTAATGTTCATTGAAGCAGAGAAAGCATGATTTGATCCTGGTTTTCTGTCTGATACTGTGCTCGGAGATCGACTTATGTTTCAGATTTTCAGCTCAGTTGAAGCATCGATCCTGTTTAAAACTGGTATCGGAAAGTGAAAATATATTATTGGATCTAATGCAGTTTATGCTCCCTAAAAGCTCAGAATTTTGACAACAACGAGGGAAATAAGATATATTTTTACCTTTGCTGCATTAAATACCTCACGAAGAGGAAAAAAAAGAAGGGCATTGCTGTCTGTAACTGAAAGTTCAGAGCAGTAGAGTTCACGTGAAGTTAACTCTTTTGGTCCGTGAATCCAGCGAGGAAGAAATTGGGGGAAAAACAATGCGGAATCAGTGTCTGTTGATGAATCAATGGAGCTCATCAATGGCGCCCTTTTTTGCTCTACAGTTTTCAAATCGTTCGAAGAACAGAGTAGGTGATGGACATCTTTTCCTCTACATCTGTTTGTTTTGAGTTGTATCGTTGAGATAAAAAGCGCTGATTGGGAGGTGTTCGTGGGATTTATTTATTTATTCTTTCTTTTGTATCCATGTCTTAATGATTTTCTCGATTAGGTGATGCAGATGTTTTACTGTTTTGATGGATTAAAGAAAGCAAAGGTAAAAGTAGAAGCAGAAGCAGAAAAGATCGTCTATGCAAAAAGGTAGATCTGATGGTTTTTGATGAGAGATTTGGAGATTCTGAAAATTTGAAGATTTTAAGGGTTTAAAGCTTTGAAGATTCTTCATTGGGTCTCACTTATGGAAACCCCAGTTCAAAAGATTCATTTAACATGAACGAGATCTGGGGAAGCCATTAAAAGTGGTTTGCTTTGTAAAAGTTTCTGGATTTATTATTGCATCTTAAAATGAGACTTCCCTCTTCAAGGTGCCTTTTGGTTTTCTCCTTTCTTTTGTTGGTTTCTGATCTTACCCTAGCGGAATCAAGCGACCGAGAAGCGCTTCTAGCTCTGAAATCGACGGTTGATCCTTCAAACTCGCTTCCATGGGAAGGATACGACTTCTGCAACTGGCAAGGTATCAGAGAATGCTTGAGGGGAAGGGTTACAAAGATGGTTGTCGAGTACTTAAACTTGACGGGAACCCTGGACGCGGCCAGTTTAAACCGGCTCGATCAGCTCCGAGTACTGAGCTTCAAAGGGAACTCGATTTCCGGCGAAATCCCCGACCTCTCTGGCCTCACCAATCTCAAGTCACTCTTCCTGAACGATAATCAGTTCTCCGGCTACTTCCCCAGCTCCATTTCTGACCTACACCGTCTAAAGGTCGTAGTCCTCTCGGGGAACAAAATCTCCGGCAACATTCCATCGTCCCTTCTCAAGCTCCGGCGATTGTACGTTCTTTACTTGCAAGACAATCGGCTAACCGGAGAACTCCCACCTTTGAACCAAACCAGTCTCAGATTCTTCAATGTATCAAACAATAAACTCTCCGGCGAGATTCCGATAACCCCTGCTCTCATTCGGTTCAACTTTTCATCGTTCTCAGGTAACCTAGACCTCTGTGGTGATCAGATAGACAGGCCATGTAGTAATGGAACTCAAACTCAAAGCCTCCCTCCGATTAGTCCCGCTTCTCCGATTAATACACCTTCGGGCTCTTCGAGTCACCGGCGACGGAGAAAGCTGGTTGCGATTATCGTCGGAAGCATCGGAGGGTTCCTTCTGTTGCTAATCTGCTTGTCTCTGGCATGGAGGGCTTGCAGAAGAAGGAATGCAATCGAAGGGAGGAGCAAAGCAATGGAGGGGGCGGCCGAAGGAGGAGCGGGAGAGGGGTCTGGTGGCACAGGAGGTAATAATGGAGGAAAACGTGGGGGGTTTTCGTGGGAAGGAGAGGGACTAGGGAGTTTGGTGTTTTGTGGAGCAGGGGATCAGCAAATGACGTACAGTTTAGAGGATCTGCTGAAGGCATCGGCGGAGACTCTGGGGCGAGGGACCATGGGGAGCACGTACAAGGCTGTGATGGAATCTGGGTTCATCGTGACCGTTAAAAGGTTGAAAGATTCAAGGTATCCGAGGCTGGACGAGTTCAGGAGACAGATGGAGGTGCTTGGACGGCTCAGACATCCCAACCTGGTCCCACTCAGAGCTTATTTTCAGGCCAAGGAGGAGCGCCTCCTCGTCTACGATTACTTCCCCAACGGCAGCTTGTTCTCCCTCATCCACGGTAACTACCACTACCTATCCCCTTTGATATCTTGATTTTCAAAACTCAATCTAGACGGTTAATTCGGTGGGCCATGCCATACACAGCCTAAATTAATTGTGTCACTAAACTAGTAACTACATAGAGTTTGATGGGGCTAGGGCTATAGATAACATGGTGAGTTGTAGTTTGTAGTCTCTAGACTCTAGGTATCAGAGTGGTAGCCACTTGCATGCGTAGGGTTTGTCCCAGGTGGGCCAGGTTTATGAGACACTAATTGAGATGTTTCGGATGGGCCCACCTGTTTGGAAGGTTGGGATTTGATTTGAGTGGTGGTGACAGACGGTTAGCATGTCGCTATTATTATTAATGCATAATAAAATAAAAGTAATCCAGCAGAGATTTCTACATGAGTTGGAATCTCCCACGTGGTAGCTCAGGTGACAGCTTAGATGGGCTCCACGTGTTTGCCAAGTCATCCTATCTTATAATGGTAAACAATAATGGTCATGGGTTGGTTTTCTCGGGAGCAAGAGGAACCTGCCAGGGATTTACCTTTTGCACTACATGGGTCCCCATGTAGGGCCCATGTTGATGTAGGTCAACATGTCTTTGCACCTCTCCATGTCGTGTTTTGGAATGTGATGGTGCTTTTGCACTACATGGGTCCCCATGTAGGGCCCATGTTGATGTAGGTCAACATGTCTTTGCACCTCTCCATGTCGTGTTTTGGAATGTGATGGTGCTTTTGCACTACATGGGTCCCCATGTAGGGCCCATGTTGATGTAGGTCAACATGTCTTTGCACCTCTCCATGTCGTGTTTTGGAATGTGATGGTGCCATCACACCAGATAGTCTTCTGCCACGTGGAAAGAAGGCCTTATTTATATTCAATAAAAAACAGAAAGAAAAGTACCACCTTGGTACGGTAGTGGGCTGCATTAGCCAATCAGTATGACGTGACAAAACGAATGGGCCCAATGGCCCATAGTGCCAGTCAAGCCTCTGCTGGGCTTTTTGACCTGTCTGAGCCTGAGCCATTTCGTTTTTCCGAAGATATTCCAATTCCATCCTTCTTCTTCCTATATATTTTTCATAAAATTCTTACATGAATAATAACTTAATGTGAAATTAATTTTGTTTAAGAAAATGTACGTGAAGCCAGTCCATAATGTTTGCCAGCATGTTGAACTGGACGGATGGATCTAGATATCCCTAATGTTGGGCCAGTCCTCTGTTGTGTTTTGGGCTTATTATAGGCCGTGGCCCACCTTGGTCAACTGAAATTTGTGGCCCTTGTGAACATGGGGTTACAGAGCAACAGTGAACTGAATTTATTATTGGCAAGCTGGAGTTAACATCCATCTACCAGCACCACCATCAAACAATTCATGCATGTCCTGTGTTTGTACTGCCGTACTTTCACCATCAACCCAGCTGAGTGAGTGGCCTTTCTTTCTCTTGCCACCTGGCAAGTTGTCAGCCTCAAACTCTTAAGAATACTAAAACCTGTAAATTAAATGGTTTAACTCTTATTACCTTTGCATTCCTCTTCTCTGGCCTTGATATACTTGCCAGTTGCCACCTGGCAAGATGTTAGCCATGAAGGATGAAGCAATAATAAACTGTGGCTTTTCTTTTTCTCTTGCCGTCTGCTAGCAAGTTGTCTGCCTCAAGCTCTTAAGAATTCTAAAACCTGTTAAAGCTTCATCTTCTTCTTATACCCTTGCATGTGGCATGCCTCTTCTACTCAGTCTGGCTTTGATGTACTTGCCACCTGGGAAGATGTCAGCCATGAAGCACTCCACAAAAGTAAAAAAAAAAAAAAGTATAGGAAATCATTCAGTGCACGTGAAACCCTTATTTTCGTCTATACCAATAATACCCTTGGGTCCAACTTAAATTCTTAATACTCTTATCTTTTGTTCACTTCCAACCCAAACGCATCCCAGATCTCAGCGGATGTGGAAAACCAGTTTAAAATCTCGATAGTTCCATGTTTGTCTGCAACAAGCAAAAGAGAAAAACGATTCCTTGCTTGTCTTCATCTCTTCCCTCTGTTTCTTATGTTTCATCTGTGAGTATTTTTAACTTTTTCAGAGATGGTGAGTGAGGTCGTAAATCACGCACGCATTAAATTAAACTAGTCTGGGATTCTCAGCCCAGTTGATCTCAGTCTTGTCTTCTTTCGTTTTCTTACAATTTCCGATACGTTTGCATGTCTACCAACACGAGTTTGTCACGGGAGAATGCTCCTTTTCTCTCAGACGAAAACAATGAAAAGAACAGAGGAAGTTGGATTATGTCTTGATAAATATTTGGTTAGAGTTTAGGATTAATAGATCCCCGCGCTGCTGGGTAGCTGAGCCTGAAATCGACTGATCATCTGTCTGTTTCTCTCACCAACCATTTTGCTTTCTCCAACCATCGCCTTCCCACCGATATTGTTGAACATTGAAAGAAAGAGGGAAGGGACCACTTAATCATTTGTCTTTTCCTCAAATCTCCCAATTATCTATTATTTTTTCTATAAATCTTGATCTCGATAATGTTGCGCGCCCTCTCGGCCAAACTGAACCGTGAACCCCAGAAACAGTGTAATTGTTTTGTTTCATTTGATATAATTTTTTTCTAAAGGCCTCAGCAGTCTGCACCTTTTGATAACCATGTGTATTTGTAATTTGTATATACACTAACAATTCTAAAGCTCTAACAGTATTCTGAAAAGTGAGAATAGCTTTTTGAAAGTCAAAAAGAAGTTCAGAATATGAAACTATGGCCAACATGAGACCAATCCAGGGTGATGGATTAGGTTCGTTGAGGGGTGAAGGTCTGTCGGGTTTAGGGTTAGGGTTGTGAATGGGCAAATGGGGTGCATCGTGCATGTTTCTTGGTTCTACATATTGAAGTAATTATATATTATGATCTCTGGTTAAGGTTTTAAGTTGTAACGGCAAATGTGGGTTATGGTTTGACAGGATCAAGAACTTCTGGTAGTGGGAAGCCTCTTCACTGGACGTCCTGCCTGAAGATAGCAGAAGACTTGGCAACAGGGCTGGTTTACTTGCACCAGAACCCCGGCATGACCCACGGGAACTTGAAGTCGTCCAACGTGCTGCTGGGGTCGGACTTTGAATCCTGCCTTACAGATTACGGGCTTAGCAGTTTTAGAGACCCAGACTCACTTGAGGAGCCCAGTGCTTCTTCCCTGTTCTACAGAGCCCCTGAATGCCGGGACACGCGAAAGCCCATGACACAAGCATCGGATGTCTATAGCTTCGGAGTACTCCTGTTGGAGCTCCTAACCGGAAAAACACCCTTCCAGGACCTAGTCCAAGAACATGGGGAGGATATCCCACGGTGGGTTCGGTCAGTTCGAGAAGAGGAGACGGAATCTGGCGACGACCCTACGTCGGGAAATGAAACTTCCGAGGAGAAACTCGGAGCCCTTTTGAACATTGCGATGGCGTGCGTAGTGATTGCACCGGAGAGTAGGCCGGCGATGAAGGAGGTGTTGAGGATGATCAGGGAAGCAAGAGCAGAGGCTCAAGTTTCATCCAATAGTAGCGATCATTCACCTGGAAGGTGGTCAGACACCGTTCAAAGTTTACCAAGGGAAGAGCATTTGAGCATTTGAGGGTGGTTAACCATTAATGGGGTATGGGTCTTTTGCATTTGAGGGCGGTGTGGTCAATCTGAAATTTAACTCTTCAACCAGCCTTGTAGAGTGTTGTGGTACGGTGTAAAGCATTTGGTAGCTTAATTTCCATTTTATCATAGTTGTAGTGTTGTAGCATGTGAGTGGTGATAAGATCTCTCTCTCTCTCTCTGGATGAGATCATTTGGTGGGTTTGGAGGCTTTTGAATTGTATTCTAACGATGAGATCAATTGGTGTCTCTTTCTTGTCTCCAAAAGGGGAGGTATCAATTACCTAGAAAACAAACACCTTCTCAATTGGCTGATACGTCTTTGTTTAGTGTTATTCTAATGGATTATTTTGGTTTTTCTTTATGACAGATATTTTTTGTAAGGTGATGTTTCGAAGAAAGAAAAAAAAAAAAAAAGGACAAGGGCTATACGGGACCCCGATCTTGACGTTTGCCTGGTGGTTGGTTGGATCCCTCTTTCATCACCTCTGTCATATTAATTCGTTTTGCAATCCATCAATCCATCAATTTTCGTTTCAAGGATAGATTTGAATAGAGGATTATGATTGTGTAATCTTGCACATGTCATCTATTTTTAAGGCTATAGATGGTAGGCTTAGTTATGCTTACGTTTGTTTGTATTGGTTTGCACTTCTTTTGTGATACAAAATTTGTGCCTTTTTGTCTCCTTTGCATTTATTAGCAATGCAAATTTTGCTTTTTGAAAACCAATGCATAATTTGTAGTACCTTCCTTCTCTTCAATTCTTTCTCATATAAAGTGGGGATCACAACATCTCACATCCTATCTTATTCCTAGACAGATAATTATCCTTTACCTTCTTTCTCTTTCATTTAGGGTATTGTTCTTTTTTTTTTTTGTCCAAATTTGAAGGGGGAAAGCCGGTCAATGAGATTATGGTTCCCGATCATTTTCCCATGTTTGTTTTTCAAATTCATGTGGATAATTAACTTTTTCACCAAGGGGAAAGTTGACAAAATATGTTGAGACAATCTTGTTCATTCTAACAATGACTTTTTATGATCAAAAGAGTCATTGTATAATTTACTTGGGAATCAAAAGAATGGTAAAGCTCACTACCCTAAAGGCATAAACATTTTTTACATGTATCATTGTCAAGGACTCAAGGGTGTTAGGGATGCAAATAGATCAGATTATATTCGAATTGAGGTATATTCAAATTTTATACGATAATTAGATAATATAAATCATGAATCCAATCCAATCTGATCTCACAAGAGGTCAATCTGAATCCTAATCCATTAAGGATGTTGGAAATCTGAATCTGATCCGATCCAATTTAACTTTTATAAAATTTAACAAATTATTAAAAAGAAAAAACATAACATTTATATAACAAAAAAATACAAGCATTTTTTCAACTATTTCCATCATATATATACATGTTTTTTTTTTTATAAAAAATAAATAGTATAAAAATTAAAAAATTCAATATATACATATTTATGAATAAATAAATAAAATGATCAGATTCTTTCAAATTGGATAGGGGTGATTCAAATTCAATCTGATTTTTAATTGTTTCCTGTTATCTGATCCCATCCAAAAATCAAATAGGGGGATATTCGAATATGACAAAATAGGATTAGATTCAAATTCAGATTGGATCATGATTTAGTCCATTTGTACCCCTAAAGGGTGTATATGTTTTCATTAATATTAGGTCAAAGATTTTGTATAGAGTAAAAGAAGTCACTTTTTGGTGTTGTGGCTTGGATAAAGCTAGACAAGTGTTCAAAATATATATGGGAATTTTGATAATTTTATCGCACACCATAATTTGGATTAACCAAACTGGATCGAGATGTCTATTTCTAGGTATTCAAGCATTGCATTTGAAAGTTCAGGGTATCTATTTGTCAGTACCCCCAAAGTAAAGGTGCCTATCTGTAACTTATCCTTCGTTTACGATATAATGAATGTTACTTCATTTTACTTTTCACAAACAAAAAAGACAGTCAAATATGAAGCAATAGTACGTGACAATTTATGGTCTTCTTGCACTTCCACACATTTACACCAGTGCAAATAATGAAATTTGTAATGCAACTAAAAGCAGCTTAATCACAATTGTCTAACAAAGGGCCTCGTAGTCATAGGTACGTATCAAAAAATTATGATAAATGCTAATTCCACCCTAGCGATTTTGAATAAGAGAATTACTCGGACCATTCTTTTTAAAAATGTTCCCTAGTACAATGTAATTATCCAACCACCCTGATTCGGTCCACGTTTATTTCTCCTCATCCTTGGTGCCTCAAAATCCTTTCAAAATTTTGATAAATTTTTAGTTTTTGAAAGAATAACAACCCATTAAAGATGAGCATTATTCAGTTTGGAAAGAGTACAAGTACTAGTTTTAGAAATACCATAAACAAGGTTTTGCAATCAATATATTTGTATTTGCACTCTTTCCAAACTGAGCCCAATGCTGCATTTGATTGCAGTACTGCAAATAAAAATTTGCGCTGATGCAAAATTATGGTAATACAAGTGATTTGGGTTTAAATTTAGATTTTTTTTTTTGAAGTGTACCTTATTTTGTTTAGACTCAGTTTGGAAGGAACACAAATACAAATATGTACAGTACAGATATATACAAAATAATATAAAATATAAGATTTTGTACTCTGCATATTTGTTTTTGTACTCCTTCCAAACCGAGCCTTAGAAATATAAATATATAGAGTGCAAAACCTTATACTTTATTTTTTAGTTAATCACCCATAACATTTCCTTTTACCCTCTTTTTTCCCCAAAGTGCTGGGTTGTGAACTTGTTGACCCTGCATCAATGCTGAAACAACCCAGTTATTACACCAACGAGCCAGCCCTCAATTGCTATGAATAAAGCTTACCTTATTAGTGTCTCATCCACCTTAGAAATTGAAATGCTGATAGGCATTTTAACCAATGTTCGGCACAAAAATGGGGCTTGCCTTTATAATCAGGTGGCAAGTTAGTAGTTTATTGTTGAGGTCCAATACGTCCATTTCTGATGTCATAAATTAAATAATAGAAATATAAAATAGATAAATTATGAAAAAAACAGACTTTTACAAAAAAGAATTCGGCATCTATATAATATTATACATTCATTATTTTAAACAAAAAGTAAATTGATAAATGATAACTATTGTTATTATTCATTAATGTTGAAAATGACTGAGAATACAAAAAAAAAAAAAAGAAGAAGAAAAACAGAATTAATGTTTGATTTATGATGCACAAACCTGCTGGCCACATCCATGTGCATCTAAAACCACAGCTGCATATTGGGAGTATCTCCCCAAGAATGAAAGTAAATAGTAGAAGAGATGTTCCCAATATGCGGTTGTAGATGTGTATGCATATATAACATTGTGTGACAGCAGATTCAGGCTTTGATTTACTGGGTCAAATAGTTCACCAGTTCAATTAATTAGTTTACTATACCATTGACCAAGTCAAAATTATTTTACAAGTAAGCTGTTCAGGGGGAAATGGATTATAAATTTGTTCAAGTGAAGACGAAGATTAATAGGAATCTCTGATCAGGGTCAGGATTGGGATGTAGATTGAGGTCCGGATGGAAAATGAGAATGAAGTTAATTTCAGAATTAAAATCGGGAACGAAAAATATGACCCTCATCCCAAACCTGTCCATTGCCATTCCTAAGATTGGCCAATTCAATGGTTGAGTTCAATTATCAGTTGAAAACATTGAATTTAACTTGGGCACTGAATCAAATGGACAAACTCAAGGTCCAACCCGATACAAATATCCATATATATATATATATATATATATATAAAATTAGCAAATTGAATAATTTATATTTATATAAATTTATACATATGCTTTAAGTTAAAAAAGTAATTATTTTCAAGACCCATATATCTAATAATATGACTGGATTCAGATGTGGTTAGGTGGTCTAACCTGAATATGACCTAATTACAGCCTTATGTGAGCCCACATATCGATAAACCCAGATCATAGATAAAAAGGTAGTACTATTAATAGTAATGCATGTCACCAATTTGGGAACATTATCTTTTTTATAACTAAGTAAAAAGATTTTTAACTACATAAAACAAAAATGTACAATATGTTCCAATCAGGCAGGTGGACCATTCCTCCATCTCACAATAATAAACCAACAAAATTGAAATTGGGTCGTTGGGCTATCAAAATGAGCTACATGTATATAGTTCTCATTTCTCAACCCTTGGAATATTAAACCAAACAAACAATATCAAATCAAGTTCAGTTGAGGGCCACTAAACCAGGGTATCACATGTTTTTCACCACTAAGAGCCAATACATATTCAAGCAGTCCCATTGCACTACTAAAACATTTATCATTCATCTTTAGCAAAAAATAATATTATGGTTGACAACGACATTTGATATTTGAATATGATATCAAGTTAGTGGTTTTGGATTTATCTTAATTGCTTTTGTGTTAAAATCATATCGACTCATTTAACTCACTTAATTCGAAAATAACTTATTTATAACCCAAAGTTTCTATATTATGCACACATATATTTGATTGAGATATCATTATGGTAAATAAGGATGACATTGAATGGTTTTTATGAATTTAATGAGGTAATAATATATATATATATATATATATATATATATATATTGTTTAATTTAAACTGGTTAATCATGTCATCAATTTCATATTAATTTGGGTTACACAAGTCATATCATACTACCTGTTAATAAATAATTCATGTTTGTATTTAAAAATTTGGTATGATTAATTAATCATGTTGTATTTGTATCAATTCATATATCTGAATTATCTCACCTTAATATAATACAAATACGAATTTCAACCTTTATAAAATAACGAATAAATAACTCCTAGCTCCACCTTAATGGTCAACGCTAACCTTAACCTACCGTCACTAAAATATTTATTAGGGTAAAAAACTTAAACCTCCCTTGAGGTTTCTCTTAAACATTAAACCTCCCCTCTCTTTTCCAAATGGACAAAGGGACCTTCCTTGTTGGGTGATGTGATCCCACAAAGCCCTCCCCTCCGTCAGCAATTTGTCAAAATCTATTTGCATGCAGAGCTGAAACTCGGAAATTAGACACCCAAACAAAATTGATTCATTGAATCGAAGTGAGATACCACGAAATGCATCTTCTGACTGTTCCGGGTGGTTAGGCCACACCCTCACCGCCCAAGACCAGGATTTACCTACTCAAAGATCAATTTCAGGGTTTATTTACTTACCTAAAGTCGGTTACCAGTTAAAGCCCCCGTTTGGGAGTGCTTTTATTTATAAGCACTCATCAGAAAAAAAGTGCTTATGTATAAACGGTCCAACTGTCTGGTTCAAACTCGGGTCAGACGGTTTTAAGGTCCAAACTCATGACCGGTTCCCAATCAATCAATCCAATCTGGTCTGGTTTTTAAAACCATGTTGAATAAGGTTAAAATTTTTCGCTTTTTTGTCAAAACAGCTTATGCATTTCTGGCCCATCTTCACCCGCGGTGTAATTTTCAAAATACCTATACTACCTTATTTGAAAAAAAGTACTTTTTCACCAAATACACATAAGCACTTATTAAGATAAACTTGGTTAATAAGCACTCCCAAACAACCAGAAAGTTGAAAAGAAGTATGGACAATTAGCC